TGCGACAGCCCGACGTACCGAAAGTTCGACTGCGCTACTGTGGCCCATTCCAAATCAGCCGCATGATCACGCCAGTAACCGTGCACCTACTGTTACCGACCGTCTGGTACATCAGCCCATCGTTCCACGTCAGCCTACTTCGCCCATACATCCCAACCACCAGCCAACTGCCTCGTCACTGCCCGCATTCCATGACTCGCCCTACATCGGAGCCGATCATCGAGCCCGAAAACATCATGAGCCATCAGATTCGCCACCCCACAGGAATCACGAGGATTGAAATCCTTGTTCGCTGGAAGGACCGCACGCCAACTGAAGATAGCTGGGTGCCCTTGGCCAACATTGAAAACCACCTTGCTCTGCAAGTATACCTGAGGAGCCGGGGATTCCGCGATATACATGCACTCGCGTAGCGGAGGGGGCTTGTTGAGGGGGGGGGGGGGGGGGGGGGGGGGTAGTGTAAGGATTTTTCTCGGCATTCCTTACGGAGCCCGACTACATCGCGTACAGCAACAACCGTTGTTCGCCCGTTACTGCTAACGGGACTTCGCCAATTTCGCGCGCACTGTTTCACCAAACCTCGCACTGCTGGCCCGGCCGTGTCGGCCTTCGCTTCGGGACTAGCCCGAGCCTCGCTGCCAGCGTAGCACTAGTTAGCTCGCACGCACGGTGTTACCGTTTGCATGTTCGCATATATATTTTCGCTCATGCCTTCGCTCACATCTTTGTACTCGTTTGACACCTTAGTGCAATTCTCGCTACTTAGATTCATTGCACCCGTAACAACCAGACATATCTGTTACAGCTCAGAGTATCCAAAGCGAGGTTCGGTTAGAAGCTAGTTCTCGACCAAACCTAGTCCGTTCAGCTTCGAAAATGTCTAACTTTTGGTTCTGTCTGACGTTGGCCAACCAGAAGGGAACGACAGGCCTGGTGCCGAGGTTCGATGAGGTTGGTCCGCCGAATTCTGTCTGTGCGTTTGCATACTGCCACGCCAGCATTCCGCTGACCAGGTTGCCTTTTGTACCATCCTGTTTTCCTCCGATATGTGATCTTGGTGACCCGACATTCTTGGTTGTAACCACATTGGGTATGTATTTCGTTTTTTTTTTCAAAAGCTCTTTGCACATCACGGTTCGCTTTCTGGAAACACGAAAAAAGCTGTTCAATTCTGACTTTCGCGAAGGCGCTCTCCTCGCAACGTTACCAATCGGTTAGTACCGTGACACACCATCGGCAACAGATGCGTAAACCGTGGAACTCGTTTTGGAGAAGAAGATCCCGAAGTACAGCAACAAACGAAACATGTGTGTGAACACGCATGCAAGTGTTCCACCCATCCAGCACTGTCGTCCTGGCTGTTTTTTAAGTTGCAAGGAAGGATTGCAATCCGGTGCAATATTCCCCCATTTTGAACGATTCTCCCACCCAACCTCTCATTTCATCCACCACCCTCTTGCAGCTCTCCTTTTCTTTCACCACGACCGCTAAAACCTCCAAGAAGCCCCACGAGTCTCCCCCTCCGGCTAAGTTAGGCAAAGAGGAGGTTGATTTGAAAGCCTTTTGGAAGCCATGGCTGCTGCCACCACATCCGCCTCGTTTGCCACCTTCAGCGGTCTTCGTGCCGAAAATGTGCGTAGCTTCTGTTCTGTACCGTGGTTTCGTCTCTTTTGTTCCCCCACTTCCATTGTTGGTCCAATGCCATACGCCGTTGCCTCTTTCAGTCCGGCTCGCCTCTGCATTGCGTCGAAGCTCCTCCGCAAGCCCCGTATGACGTGTTCCTGCTGCAGCCTTTTGCGCCGATTTGCGTTCTTAACCACGTCCGTTCGACCTCGTCGACATCCCCTAATACGGACTCGCAATTTTCCGAGACATTGCATGCACCGCTTATCGGCACGCGTCTGAAGTCTTTACCGTCTAGTCGCCGAGAGGTTCAACAGCAATGGCTCCGCGACAGCGACGCAGCAGACGTTGTTCGGCTCTCTTCTCTTCGCGCGACAATCGCGTGCCTCAGCAGCGCACCCTCCTTGATTTTTCTCCCGCCTTTATCTCGGAGTGCCACGTCAACCGCAAACCTGCCGTTCCCCCCACCATCTCATCCCCCTGTCTTCGCGACGTTCGTCGAGTTAATGCGGCAACCCCTGTCAATGACCTTCCAGCCTCCCTAATTTCACATGATTGCACTTTCCGCCCTCTTCCCCTCCCCTCCCCCTTGCAGGTGTCCGCGCCCCTTGCTGCAGTGACGCTCCCCGCAGCCGCGTCGCCCGCGCGGCTGGCGGTGGTGGCCACGAAGAAAGTGGTGAAGCGGAAGCAGGTGAGGCAGAGACTGAGAGGCGATGTGGAACGGCGGAGGGGAGTGTGACGCGGACGAACGTGCGTAGTGGGGTGATTAAGCAGTTAGAGCGGAGGGCACAAATGATGTTGCCTGGATGATTGAGGGAGGCGGGAGACGGGAGGCGGGGAAGAGGAGCAAGTGCGGAGGAGGGTGTGAGAGAGCCATAGGCAGCATAATGGGAACAGGAGAGGAGATAGGGAAAAGAAAGCGGAAAGAGATGAGGGGTGAAAGGAAAAGGGAAGTAAATGGTCGACCGGAGGAGGCGCGGGAGACGAGAGGGTAGAAGAGGGGGGTAAGTGGGGGTGGCGGGGAGGAGGGGGGTTAAAGGGCAGTGTGCCGGTGTGAGGAACAGACCTTTGCTCGACGTCGCTGTATCTGACACCCTTGCTCCCACTTTATCGCTCTTCCGTTCTCCCTCGTTTTCCCCCGTTCTCCCTTGTTTTCCCTCGTTTCCCCCCGTTTTCCCCCGTTCTCCCCCGTTTTCCCCCGTTCTTCCCCGTTCTCCCCCGTGCCCCCGCAGATCATATTGACGAAGAACGTGCCGAACGTGGGCAAGGCGGGCGAGCTGCTGTCGGTGCGGCTGGGCTTCTTCCGCAACTTCCTCTTCCCGCAGGGCTTCGCCAAGACCGCCACGCCGCAGATCCTCAAGTGCGTGCGCGCACTGCCTCCAGATTAAGATGCCGTTGCCGCACGCACACGCAGTCGCCTTGCTGCCGCTGCCACGCCGCACTTGCGCGCCGTGCTTTGCTGTGCGGTGGTGTTGTGTTGTGTTGTGTGCCGCGCTAACGGGCGCGCAAAGAGCTCTGTTTCATTCCGTTTTCTGTGCCCCGTGCTTTTGCTTGTCTATGGCGCGTGGTGTTTGTGGTGCGCAGGGAGATCGAGGAGGAGCAGGCGCGGATCGAAGCTGAGAAGCAAAAGGTGAACTCCCATGCTCTTTCAACGCTGCTCTCTATGATCGTCATCATGTGTTGTATACTCTGCCTTTCTCCCCTCCCCTCTCCATCCTTCCCTCCCTCCCTCCCTCCCTCCCTCTTCTCCCCCTCTCCCTCCCTCTCGCCCAAGGCACTCGCACTCGCGCACGGCGCACATGCACACGTTCACTCACCCCCCCTGCAAGCGCGACCATGCGCCCCTTCGTCTCCCCCCCTGTGCGCCTCCCCCTCTCCTCCTCTGCCTCTCCGCCCGGCTGTCCCCGCAGGTGCTGGAGGAGGCGCGCAAGGTGGCGCGGCAGCTGCAGACGGTGGGCGGGCTGACGGTGAGGCGCAAGGCGGGCGCCGGCAAGTCCTTCTTCGGCTCGTACGTGCTGCCGCTGCCCTGGGGGGCACCGCGGGTGGTTCACAGCATGGATGTTGGGGAAGGGACGACGGCGAATGGAGGAGAGTGTAGAGGGGGGAGGGGTGGGAATGGTGGAGGAGGGGTGGGTGAGGGCGTGAATAAACGGTACTGAGTGTTGTGTGCGGAGTGATGGGCGCACCGAGCATGCGCGTGTGGCAGTGGTGTCAGGAGCCTTGCTGTGGAGGAGGGGCAGCATGTGGGTGGAAGGGAAGGGACAGTCGTGATTTATGCCATGGTGTTTCTTAAATGCGCACCCACCCACTTACCCACTCACCAATAAGCACAGTTACGCATGGACATGTGTTTCTCATGGTTCACTTTGCTTACACCTCCGATGACCCACCCTTAACCGCCTACTCCCCCCCCCCCCCCCCCCCCCCCGTGTGTGTGTGGGCGTGCGCGCGTGCATGGCAGTGTGAGTGTGAACGACATTGTGGACATCATCAAGGCCAACATCAACAGGTTAGCACTCCCCCTTTCCTCCCCCCACAACCCCCCAACCCCCCCCCTTCCCCTCCCCACCCCCCTCACCACCGCCACGCCTCTTGCTGTGATGCCGGCAAGATGCTCGCCCAAGCAGGCCCCAGCCTTACTGCTCGAGTATTGAAAGGTTACTGTCTGTGTTCAATCGTGCATGGCGCTCCACTCATCTTGCTCCTGCTGGCGTGTGTGCTATGGCGTTACGTACATGTGTGTGCCTGTGCTTACCATGTGTGCATGATACGACCCCCACGAGCAGGGAGATCCCCAAGGCGGACATAGAGCTGCCGGAGATCAAGGAGGTGGGGCAGTACACGGCTTCCATCCGCCTGCACCCAGAGGTCACTGCCGACGTGCGCATCAACGTCGTCGGCAAGTAGACTGCACGCGCCTCACTGCTCACAGCTCGCTGCTTGCACTCCAGGATAACACGGCCACGTGTGCACGATGTGTTGGCATGATAACGAGGGTTTAGCGGGAAGGGAAACATCGTAAGGGCTGAAGCTGCAACTGTGGTGTATTTTTGTCAGCAAGAGGTTGTCGACGAAGTAAAGTTTGTAATGCTTCAACATCTCTATATTGGTGCACACTTGAGTGGTTTTACACAGTACAATAGCCCATGTCCCTCCCTGCCAGCTGCTTTCGTAAGTATGTAAATGCTTTGCACAGACCATCTTGTGCATCTTCATCATCTATGCCCCAGCGACTGATGAGGTGGCGCCAAGCTTGAACATGTTGACTTGGACCCCGCCTACCAAATCTGAATGTGAGAGTCTAGCGAGACGCGCTCCATTGCACTCGCGGCGAGTTCATTTAGCTTGGAGCGTCATGTGCCATTCGAAGTACCGTATCATTCAATCGTCATTTCAAACTGCTCCTCTCTTCTAGCATATTCTGAGCTTCACAATATGCAGCATAAGTTCGAAGCATTATTTTCAGCCGTTGCAGATGCTGCAATCCCACCTTTCCCGTACCTCGAGCTTCACCCATCACCTCTTCAAGGTCTGGCTTGCGCCTCGAGAAATCATCGAGCAACAGCTGCGCCCGTGACTGGAGCTCTCCCATTTTATAACACTCCAGCTCCTTCCTTTCCTGAGCCTCCTCCATCTCCCCTGTTTGGAGCCCATGCGAGTCCATGGTTCCATCCTTCTCTGCTATGTTCTTACACCTCTCTTTCCTCTCTTCTGAGTAACCATTAGCGTACTCTTCCTCTTCATCCTCTGCCTCTACCTCCCCTCCTCCCTTCTCTCTCATCCCTGCTTCACCTGCATCCTTCTCCCTTTCCCTCTCCCCTCTTCTCCCCGCTTCTCTCGCCGCTCCTCTCCCCACCCTCTCATCTTCTCCATGCTCATCGGTTTCAACAAGTGGGTGCATCAAGATCCGTGTGGGTACCTCACGGGCCTCACCTGTCATACGCCTTTCCCCCACCCTCTGCTGCTCTTGCTCCAATTCATGTTGCTGCTGTTCCTTCTGGTAATATTGCCGCCACTGCTGCTGCTGCTGCTGCTGCTGCTGCTGCTGCTGCTGCTGCTGCTGCTGCTGCTTCTGCTGCTGGTGCTGCTGCCGTTCCATTCCTCCTCCCCGTCCCACCACCACTCCCCCTTTCTCCCCTGCCGCTCGTCCCTTCTCCCTGCGCCTGTGCGCCTGCCACAGAGCAGAGGCACTGATGGCCTTCACTAGCTGGAGCTTCTTGGCTTTAGCGGGCACAGAGCACCCCAGCAGCAGCGCCACCACTCTCACAACATCCCGCTTCTCCTGCTGCACGTCCTCCTCTGCCCCCGCGCACCGCGCAAAAAACAGCTCCTGATAGCCCTGCTTATAACGGGGGATGGGAAAGGTCGGAGTGACTAGGACAAATGAAACTGAAGCTTTTCCTCCGCCGCACACCACGCAAAGACTAGCTCCTAATGGCTCTGTCTATAACGAGGATACATACAAGTGGGAGTAAGAAATAATACTGACAACTCTGCTCGTAATGAAAATGAACCCACACCAAAGCCTCACCTGGACATTACTCGTGCCTTACCTTGCGTTGCATGCAATGAGCTCCACCTCTACCCTTGTGGCATCGGAACAAGCCGTTGTATTAAGGGCATGAGGGTTGCCTCGGGATGCGTTATAAAGCACACTCCCCTCCAGTTCACCTGCCGGCAACTCGCTCTCCTCCATGTATCCCCACTCACTCCAACCTCCCTCCAAAGAGTATCGCACTGTGCCTTACCTTATACCGCCCTCTCCACTCATGCTTCCCCTGCACCCATGCTTCCCCTGCACCCATGCTTCCCCTGCGCCTGCACCCATGCTCCACCCATGCTTTCCATCCAGCAAACACTCACCTGGACGGCATCAGGGTTGGCGCGGATGAGCGACCGAATACACGCTTCCACCTTCGCTCCTAGCACCTCCCTCTCCTCCATATACCCTCACTCACTGCAACCCTCTTTCCAAAAGTTTTTGCAGCATGCCTTACCTCACTCCACGCACGCATCCCCTGCATCCATGAAGCATCTCCTGCACCCATGGCTCACCGTGAGGGCATCGGGGTTGGAGCGGATGAGTGACCGAATGTACGCCTCGAGCTTTGCTGCCAGCAGCTCCCGCTCCTCCGTGTGCTCCCACCGCATCCTCCTTTCAAGGAACTCCGTGAGCAGCACATCGGCGGGCCTGTTCAGCCGTGCAATGCGCGCATCGCCTATGTCTGATAGGCCCACCTCCTGTGGCAGCAGCACCCCTCCCACCTGCCCTTCTCTTGGGTGTGCAGGAGGTGGGAAAGGAGCCGGTACTGTCAGCTGCACTTCCGAAGGGGTTGGGGCGGGAGCGGATACTGAAGGAAGGCCGTTCAACTGCTCATTCAACTGCGTCGGCTGGTTCGACCGTGCAATCTGCTCGTCTCCTATCTTGCCTGTGTCGCCCAGACATGACAGCCCCCCCTGCTGCGGCCGCAGCAGCAGCCCTGGAGATGGTGTTTGAGAGGGAGGTTTGGGAGATGCTGTGCGGTTCTGGATGGTAGGACAAGGATCTGCGGGTGCTGCAGGTGTTACTGATGACACTGTAGCTGACCCAAGCATCATATGTGCTGCCGTTGCTGCTGCCACAGGTGCTGCTGCTGCTACTAGCAGTGGTGGTGCTGCTGCCACTCCTGCTGCTTCACCAATTGATACTCCCCCCTCTGCTGCCCTTTCCGCAACATACACACCAGGTCTCATACTCCCCCCTCTGGTGGACATCTCTTCTCGCACTCTCCCCCGTGAATCCGAGTCCCCCCTCATGCCCCCCCTCCCCTCGCCTCGCACTCGTGCCCACGCGTCGGCGCGCACAATGGCCTCGGCGAGCTCGTCCTTGCGCAGGGACGTGACCTCGGGGGCGCCCAGCAGCAGCGCGAACAGCTGCAGCGCGCCCTTCTTCTCGCCCTGCAGGTCCTCCAGCGTCGCCTCGTGCGCCAACAGCACGTCCTGCAACGGCTGCCGGGTTGAGGAGGCATTGGGCGACGGGGACCGTGGAGAGGGAACGAGGGGGAGAGATGTGGGAGGTAGCATGAGAAGGTCGTCCCGCGTGGGCTCATGCGCCCCCAGCACGCGCTGACACGGCTGGTGGATGGGGGGTGGGAGAGGGAGAAGGGAGAAGGGAGAGGGAGAAGGGAGGGGGTGAAGTGGAAGAATAGAGGGAGGGAGGGGAGGCGAAGGCAGCGCTACCGGAACGAGTTTGTGGTACCTGCACTGCGTGTGGCCCCATCTTCCAGAGGTGCTTCACGTGTGCCTTGAGCGACGCCAGCAGTGCACTGCGGTCCTCCAGCAGATGCCACAGCCGCCTCTCCCTCAGACACTCCCTCAACCTCCCCTCCACCTCCTCCCTGCTCTCCCCTCCTCTCCTCCGCTTACTATCCTGGTACCCATCCCTCCTCTCCTCGCCTTTTCCCTCCTGTGCTGCCTCCAACGAACCACCCTTCCTCTCCTGCCCATGATCATGCAACGCTTTTTGAGGCGCCTCAGAAGAGGTCTTCTCCACCGGCCCCAACAACCCATCGTTCCTCTCCCTTCCCTGACCTTCTCTGCCTTCTCTCGTCTGATTCTCCTCCGCAGCTGGTTTGCTTCCCTCGATCCTTGCTCGCTTCAACGCTCTCCCTCGCGCTCCCTCCTTTTTTTGTGCCCCTCCTCCTCCTCCTCCCCCTCCTCCTCCTCCTCCTCCTCCTCCTCCTCCTCCTCCTCCTCCTCCTCCTCCTCCTCCTCCTCCTCCTCCTCCTCCTCCTCCTCCTCCTCCTCCTCCTCCTCCTCCTCCTCCTCCTCCTCCTCCTGCTGCTGCTGCTGCTGCTGCTGCTGCTGCTGCTGCTGCTGCTGGTGATGATGCTGTGGCTGGTAACGCTGCTGTTGCTGCTGCTGCTGCTGCTGCTGCTGCTACCGGTGCTGTTTGTACTGCCGCTAATGCTGGTGCCAGTAGTGCTAGTGTTGGTGTTATTGCGGTTGCTGGTGTAATTGTTGGTGTTGTTGTTGTTGCTGCTGATGCTAGTGCTGGTGCTGTTGCTACTGTTGCTGCTGTTGTTGCAAGTGTTGGTGCTGTTGCTGGTATTAATGCTGCTGCTGATGGCGCTGCTGCTGCTAATGGTGGTGCTGGTGGTACTGCTGGTGCCAATGCAACAGTGGCTGGCATTAGCTCCGACCGTAACGGGATTTTATTTCCAATTTCACTAATGCCTGCTGCTGTCACTGCAGCTGCCACTTCTGCGGTCGATGGATATTGCACGAGATTAGCATGAGAAGGAGTAGCAGCGGCAGCAGCAGCAGCAGCAACAGCAGCAGCAGCAGCAGCAGGAGCAACAGGAGTAGCAGCAGGAGCAGCAGCAGGAGCAGCAGCAGGAGCAGCAGCAGGAGCAGCAGCAGGAGCAACAGGAGTAGCAGCAGGAGCAGCAGCAGGAGCAGCAGCAGGAGCAGCAGCAGGAGCAGCAGCAGGAGCAACAGGAGTAGCAGCAGGAGCAGCAGCAGGAGCAGCAGCAGGAGCAGCAGCAGGAGCAGCAGCAGGAGCAGCAGCAGGAGCAGCAGCAGGAGCAGCAGCACCTGTAACAGCAGCCGCTGAGGCAGCACCAACTGTAGCAGCAGAAGCAGAGGCAGCAGCGACAAGTGCAGGAGAGCCACAAGAATGAGAGGGCAGTGCAGGTTGAAGAGGAGGAGGAAGGGCGTCCACAGCAGCATCCGCTGCAGCACCACCAGCATCTGTGACAATGCCTGTAGCAGCACCTGTAGCAGCATCTGCAGTTTGTGTCAAAGCAACAGGGGGAGGGTCAGGAGGAGGATGAAGAGCATTCATGGAGGTAGCATGAGGAGTGGAACAAGGATGAGAGGGCGGAGATACGAAATCAGCCTCTTTCGTTTCCTCCGCCTCATGCTGCTGCCCCCCCTTGTTCTGCTGCTCGTTCCCCCTCTGCAGCGTTTCCTGTTCTTGCATGGCGTCGTTCTGCCCTTCCCTCGCCTCCCCGCCCCCCATGCGCCCATCTCCCGCGCCCCCTGTGCCCACATCGCCCAGCTCCCCTTCCCCTGATCCCCCTTCTCCCAGTTCACCTTCCCCCATCCCCCTTTCCCCCGTGCGCGCTCCCCCCATCCGCCTTGCCCCATGAACCACAAACTCTGGAGAAGGCCAGCCATACCACGCCCCCCATCCCCCCCCAACCCACTCCCCTCCCCTTCCCCGTAACTCCCCCCCTCCCCTCCCAAATCTTCCGCCCACCCCCCTTCCTCTCCCGCCTCCCATCCCCCTTCCGCTCCCCCCCAGTGGGTGAACCCCCCCGTACGCGTGCGGGGGAAGATGAGCATGCGGGGGGGTTGGCGCATGGGCGGAGATTAGCGCATTGGGAAAGATTCCCCCGGGCGCGTGGGGGGAGATTTGCGCATGCGGGTGCGGGGCGGTTGGCTCGTGCGGGGGGGTTGGCGCATGGGGGAAAACCAGCGGGGGGTATCCGCCGTAGTCGTACCACCCAGGGGGAGCATAGTGCGGCGGCGGATAGTGATAGTACGGCGAGGGCGCTATATACGCGTATGGGGGCGGCGGACCCTGCGGAACCGGCGGCCCTGGCGGAACAAGGGGGAATGAATGCGCGGAGAGGAAGGGTTCTCTTGGCGCAGATTGGGGCGGCGGGGTCCGCGGTGCTTGTTGCGGGGGGAAGCGGGACGGAGACTCCGCCACGTCGTGTTGGGGGGTTCGCGCAGGGGAAACGGGGAGGGCGGTGGCGGAGGGATCGAGTGAGTCATGCGATGAAGTCATCTCAGAAAGTAAAGAATTGTCGGAGGCTGTTGGATGTGTTCTCTGTAACGGGTAACGAGGTGACTTTTGAGTCGACTCACAAGTCACCTTGTAGCGGGTAATCCGTAAACTGCCAAAATGTTGCTACAAGGGTCTTCAGAGACTGGGATTCCTGGTGATTCAAGAAACGCGTATCGCGCCGTCTGTTCCTGGGCTGGGAGCTTCCAACAGCTTCCACCATCGGCTAGGGCGTTTAGTACTGAACTATCCATGTGAGCTTCCAAACTGGTCGGTCGAGTAACCCGAGCCGACTTTAGGGCGTGGAACACCGACCAAACGAAATGGTCCACCATTTGGGCGGTTCTGACGATTGAGAAGTATTCAGTGACCACAAATTAGAATTGCGTAGTAGTCACTCACCAGTGGAAACCAAAGGTATTTTTAGTACATGGTTGCCCACGCAATGTTTTGTGCAAGTGTTACGGGTGCAATGAATACAGGTAGCGAGGATTGCACTAATGTGTCAAACTAGTACAAAATGTGAGCGAAGGCATGAGCGAACATTTATACGCGAAACATGCAAACGGTAACGCGGTGCGTGCGAGCTAGCTAGTGCTATGCTGGCAGCGAGGTTCGGGCTAGTCCCGAAGCGTAGGTCGACACGGCCGGGCCAGCAGTGCGAGGTTTGGTGAAACAGTGCGCGCGAAGTCGGCGAAGCCCCGTTAGCAGTAACGGCCGAACAACGGCTGGTGCTGTACGCGATGTAGTCGGGCTCCGTAAGGAATGCCGAGAAAATTCCTTACACTACCCTCCCCCTCAAGAAGCCCTCTCCGCTACGCGAGTGCGTGTATATCGCGCAAACCCCGGCTCCTCAGGTACACTTGCAGGGCAGGGTGGTTTTCGATGTTGGCCAAGGGCACCCATCTATCCTCAATTGGCGTGCAGTCCTTCCAGCGAACGAGGAATTCAATCCTCCTGATTCCCGTGGGGTGTCGAATCCAATGGCTCATGATTTTTTCGGGCTCGATGATCGGCTCCGATGCCGGGCGAATCATGGATTGCGGGCGGTGACGAGGCAGTTGGCTTGTGGTTGGGATGTATGGGCGAAGTAGGCTGACGTGGAATGAAGGGCTGATGTACCAGTCTGTCCGCAACAGTAGGTGGGCTGTCACTGGGGTAATCATGTGGCTGATCTGGAATGGTCCACAGTAGCGGGGTTGGTACGGGGAATGATTTAGTACGGGGACTACTGCGTCATCGCTGAGGTGGCGTTTTTGTACTCGAACTCAATCAGCGGCAGTTGCTGCTCCCAGGTTGTGGGGTTGTCGCACGTGGCACGAATCAACTGCTCCATCGTCTGATTTGTCCGCTCCGTTTGACCGTCGGTCTCGGGGTGGTACGACGAGCTGAACTGTAGCCTGGTCCGGAACTGCTCCCACAGGCTTTTCCATAAGTTGCTGGTGAACTTCGTGTCGCGGTTGCTGATTATCGCGGCTGGTATCCCGTGTAGTCGTACGACGGCTGCGATGAACAGGCGAGCGGTTTCTTCGGCTGAGATCGGTTTCTTGCACGCAGCGAAGTGTGCCATCTTCGTCAACCTGTCAACGACGACCATAACTGCGTCGTTACCCCCAGGGTTCAAAGGTAACCCTGTGACGAAATCCATGGTAACCTGCTGCCAGGCGCGCTCAGGCGGTGGAATCGGGTGCAACTGACCCGCCTTCCTTTTTCGCGAGCTCTTTATCACCTGGCACGTAAGAGACGAGCCCACGTGGTGCTGTACGGCAGACAACAGCTCCGGCCAGTAGTAATACCGCTGCAGCTGCTGTCGCGTTTTTTCTACCCCAAAATGTCCCGAGGTAATTCCGTCGTGTGCCTCTTGCAGTAATAGTTCCCTTAGTAGTGAGTACGCGGGCACCCAGATGCGGTTTTTGCCTATCTTTACGTAATAGACTCCGTTTGCGTCTGCCAGTTGCTGTGAATTTCCGGTCGTGAAAAATGGGTCGGTACTGTATCCGTGGGTGAATAGGCCTGTTAGCAGTGGGTTGGTTTGGGCGAGTAGGATGGCGTGGAGTTGGGCAGTGGGGTGTGTGAGTACGTGGCGATGTTGGATGCACCTTTTTTGTACGTGACCGTGTAGTGGAAGTTGGACTCCAGATAGTCCAACCAGCGGATCTGTCGTGGGTTGAGGTTCGGTTGGGCGCGAAGGTACTGTAGTGATCGGTGATCTGTCCGTACTGTCACGTCTGCTCCCGTGAGGTAACATCGCCACACCTTGAACGCGTGCACAATCGCCAGCATCTCGCGGTCGTGTATTGGATAGTTGCGTTCGGGCGGGTGAAGATTGCGGGACTCGCGCGATTGGCCGGAGGCCGTTCCCAAAGTCCTCCAACAGTACTGCTCCCACAACGATGTCGCTAGCATCGGTGACGAGCTCGAATGGACGGTGCGGATCGACGATGTGAAGCACGGGCGGCGAGCACAAAATATTATCGAGGGCCGAGAAGGCACCTTGCTCTTTCTCCCCCCACGTGTACTCAACCCCCTTCCTCAGCAGGTCGGTCAACGGGGCAGTCAACTTCGCCATGTCGGGGACGAACCATCGCACGTAGTTGGCAAACCCCAGAAAACTCTGCAGCTCAGTCAAGTTTGTCGGCGCGTGCCATGCTTGAATCGTCGCGATCTTCTTCGGGTCTATTTCCACTCCTTCAGCTGAAATAATGTGTCTCAAAAACTCCAGTCGGTCCTGTAAAAACTCACACTTAGCATTTTAAAAACTTCTTCGATGTCCTGTAAGTGCTGTGCTCTGTCGGGACTGTAGATCAGTATGTCGTCGAGATACACGATGACGCACTTATCTAAAAGTGGGCGGAAAGCTTCGCTCATGGTCATTTGAAAAGTGGCGGGGGCGTTGGTCAGTCCGAAAGGCATGACTGTGTATTCGAAGTATCCGTAGCGTGTTCGGAAGGCTGTCTTGGGGCAGTCGGGTGGGTTGACGCAAATCTGGTGGTAACCTTCCCTAAGGTCGATTTTCGAGAAAACCCGGGCTGTGCGCAGCTGGTCGATCAGTTCGTCAGCTCGCGGGATGGGGTAACGGGATTTAATGGTAACCCTGTTCAATGCTCTGTAGTCTATGCACATGCGAAAACCTCCGTCCTTCTTCGGCGTGAACAGTATCGGTGCTGCGAAGGGTGACGAACTCGGGTGAATGAACTCTTTTCCGAGCAGGTAATCGAGCTGCTTCCTCAGTTCGTCCTGTTCGGGTTGGGTCACTCGGAACTATTGCTGTACTGTCGGCTGTGCCCCCGGTTCTAGTTCTATCCTGTGGTCTTGCGGTCGCTGAGGTGGCAGTCCTGTCGGCAGATCGTCCGGAAATATTTCACTATACCACTTCAAGAGTGCTGCCAGGTCATCCGGTACGTTGGCTAGCAGTTTCTGTAAATCTCCCCCTTTGTCTGCTGCCTCGGCTTCCCGAATGTCAACCGCGTACACGTCAGCTCCTACCGCTACGGCACGTTTCATCGTGATCGTTGACACGCACCGACGAAGACTCAGGCGAGCCCCAGCGAGGTAAGGCGATGTTGTTACCGTTCACTCGCACGGTGCAGTCACCCGTCGTCCAGTCGATTCGCGGATTGTGTCGTCGTAGCCAATCACGACCGAGTAAAATGTCGGTTCCGTTGAGGGTTGTCGCGAGCATTTCCTGGCTAAACGTGAAGTTACCCCCGCATCGAATCCGAACCCGGTCTACACGTTCCTGTATCGCCAGTGGCGTGCCGTCGACCAGTCTTGTGTCGATCTTAGGTAAGCATCTGTCCAGTGGCAGTTTCAGTTTCCGTGCGTGGCAGTGTTGATGAGGCTGTGGCTGGCTCCCCCGTCCACGAAGATTTTAACTAAGTCTGTACCGATTTTCCCACTAAGCAGTATGGGGCTGTCTACCGTAGTACCCTCCTTATTCGGCCGGGTGTGGTCGATTGCGTGAACCGGCACAATCAATCGGTGAGGGTCGGTTGGGTCGGGCGAGCGGCGTGACCTGTTAGTAAAGGGCCCGTCTGCTACTGACTCCCAGCGTTTCCCTGCTGCTTGGTCTGTTTCTGCTGCTCGGCTTCCCCCTTTCCCTTAGCGTTTTACGGGCATTCGCTCTTACGGTGTCCTGGCCGATTGCACGCGAAGCAGTGCCCTTTGAACGGTGCAGCAGCGGCATTCGCGGCGACGGCACGTATCGTAGCGCCCTCGTTCCTCCCACGAGACCGATGTCCCCAGTTGTTGCTTCCGTAGGACCCCGATCTCGGTCGGCGGAAGAAATCGAGCTTTCCACCATGGCGAGAATCTTCTGGAAATCGGTGACGCCGCGAAGCTGGATTTCCTGAGCGATGTCGTGCTTCAGGCCGCTGATATAGCGGTCGATGCGCTCGCTCTCGTACATGTAACCCACTTGCCCGCATAGCGCCAGAAACCCGCTCGAGTAGTCCTGGACGGAACCGAGTTGGCGCCAAGTGCGGAGCTTCTGTCGCGCCGCGATCGAAGTCGCGATTGGCTCAAACCAAGCGCGCAGACCTGCGCACCACGCATCCAACGTGCGATATTGGGGCACCTCCACGAAATACGACGGCGCCCAGGGTCCGGTTTGTCCTCCCCGTGTCGGTAGAGTCGCGTAGTCTACCAGCTTCGTGACGATGACACGCCACCAGTCCATGGCGGGTCCTCGCAGCAACGACACGGCGTAGCGGATTTTCGCCGTATCCTCCGAGACGTAGTTGGCGTCGAAGAAAACGTTCAACGTGAACAATCACGCCTCAACGTCAGTGCAAGTGTGTCTCCTCTGCAGTTCCTCGTTCACGGAGGCCAGCGCGCGTCGGCCGGGAGTGGCGAACACAGGTCGTCGATGTAGACCAGGACAAAGAACGGGGTCGAGCCACGGCGGACGAACAGTGACGGGTCGGCGGACGACGGAAAGAAGTCAAGCGCTGCAAGGGTCGAGTGAAGTGTGTCGTGCCACTCACGTGGA